AAGACAAAACGAATGTGTAGCAGTGAAGTGGTTAATCAATACCAGGGCTGCAGGCAGAAGGAGGTGCAGGGTGGGAGGAGGATAAAAAAAATGCAGAAAGGAAGGAAATGGAGGGAGTGAGAATTAGACTCACTATAAAACCTCCTCATTCTGATTTACAAAGGGGGGTAGGAGAAGGGGGGAAGAGTAAAGGGGGGAAAAATGTGAGCCAGCTACACAATAACCCCTTTTCCTGTGGAGAGGATGTTTATTAAGGGCTTGTGCTGTATATGTTTTTAACTATTAGTCCATGGACCCTCTGGGATCTAAAGAAAAAAGTCACATCAATGTAAAATACATGGAATTAAACTGATTTTTGTATTAGCTTTGTCTCTGCTCATTTTCTCACACACTTCATTTTCCCCTCCTATCCTTCATTCATAACTTGCATTTAGTAACTGTTTTTCTCATTCACCCCACCCCTCCCCAAACACTGTCAACCCTGAACACAAGAGCCTGCTTTGTAGAGATTAGATCAGAAGAGATTTGGGATCTTTTGGGGAACTGCATTTGGTTACATGCAATAACTTCTGAAGCTATTGATTGGGTGTATTTATGGAAACATGAATGGTGCTTTGGATAGCCTTTAGATTTGAGATGATCATTCTCGGTTATTGTCACTGAAAGAGATGAGAGATTTCTTTGGTTTTCCTACGTTTAAATTTTGCACTTGGGAGAATGTTATAAAGAAAATTGTACATTTTTACCACATAAAAACAAATGCTCAGGCCAAATAAAGATATATTTGTGAGGGTGACTCTGGGCATATTTTAAACTTTAAAAAATCGTTTCTGACAGTTTTTAAATTGCTAAAACATTTCTGGGGTATGTTGTTTTGTCATGAATAGTTCTTTTGTTTATATATTTTTTAAAAACCTCCTTTTAACTCACTGCATTTGTTACAAAGCATTAGAATTTGAAAGAAAAAAAGAAATAAGAGCATTTTGAATTTAATTTCTACACACAGTGTGATTTCAAATATTTTTATCCCTACAGGTCTGAATCAGAAACCATTCAAACAAAACCTTTGATAAACTACTTAGTTTAAAAATAAGGACAAAGATTGCTGTACTTGTCTGTGGTAGAATAAATTGAGACTAATTCAAACTAGTGTTTCAATAAATAGTTGACTTGAAAGATTACACCAGTGTAAAAAAAACCCAACCAAAACAAGATTGTGCTAAAAGCAAGGAGAGTGAAGGTTTTCAAGGAGCAGGTAGAGACTTTCTTTTCTCTCTCCACAGCCCATTTTTAAGTAGTGAGTTTTTGAAGCTGAGGCAAACCCAAACTCCAATCTGTTTGAGTTTAAACATTAGTACTCTGTGCTGCCCTGTGAACATTTTATGAATCTATTTGTTCCTGTTCCCCACTGAGTTTTATCAATTTGTTTTGAACCTAACTTCAGAGTTTTGTTCACAGCAGTATTTGCAGCTAGTGAATTGGGAATAAAGGCACATTTCAAAATCAGATCTAGTCTTTCCAAAGTATTAATCTTCCAGCAGGAGGGATCTTAAAGTTAATTTATACCAGTCCATGCAAATACTTTGGAAACTTTTTGTTAAATAATTCTGGCCCCCATCTTTCCCCTTTGTTTCTCAGTCTGACACAGGCACACATTCACAAAACATATGTATGTTCTAGATCTAATTAGGAAGGTTTTATATGAGTTTGTACATGTGTTTTCACACACGTTAACACTGAAGTGTGTTACTGTGCAGCTCGTGTGGGGCTCTTTTAGCCCTGCAGATGGGAGAATGTTATTAAGAAAATCGTAATTAATGGCGTTAAGAAGCTGATTAAAATAAAACCCGCGTTATTGCAGTCGGGGTCTCATTAGGAAAGAGCCATGCCTGTCCCCACAGATTTAAGAACTTTCAGCCCACAAGGCCTTGAACTGAGGCAGTTATAGTTTAAGCAAACGCATTGGAGACTCCACCCCCGGTGACATCAGATAGAGTTACACTGAAAAAAAACATCCCAAGATCTGGAAACAAAAATCAAGTTTGTCCCCCTCCCCCCGCGCCTAAAATGATAAAAAAAATCATATTTTTTTCCAGTTTAAATCTTCAGATCATCTTTTTTAAATACAAAGCAAACATAAATGCCCTCCTTGGTTCATCCCCTTGCCTGTACAAACACGGGGAAGGACAAAACAGCAACATTGGGTTAGAGTGGAAAAGAAATCAAGCAAACAAAAAGGCAAAGACCCAAAGCCTCCTAACCCTGAAATAAAGCAATGCTGCAGGAGAGCAGAGCCACATTCCTCCAGCAGCGCAGGGGAGGGGAGAGCCTGGACGTGCACTTATATTGTGGGGCTGGAAGCAAAGAGTGGGTGGTGGGAAACGTGCCTGAACTTTATTTACAGTTTGGGCCGAATTAAATTGATAAACACATTCCTCCTTTGCTGTGAAGTTACACATTTCTAAAGTAAACATCCAGGCAGTTGCCTTCTCCATGATGTGTCATTTCCTGTGTGGCTATAATAAAATCTGAAATAACTGTGGGCCAATGGATTTACATATCTATACGTGTGCATGTGTGTGCGGGACACAGGAAAGATAGCAGCATGCTGTGCAGATAGAGCCGATCGATACAAAGCATTTTGTTTAAAAGCTTGGGAAATCACCACGCGGAAAGAAGCAGCACACACGTCTTCCTGGCACTCAAGCCTAGGCTGGCAATGAATGCAAAGCTGCAAGGGTTTGGGGTGACTCCATGTGGGCAGGGAAGCTTCTGCCTTTAAGATTTGTGATAGCGAGGACAGATGTCACCGACACATCTACCTGCTTCTGAAGACCCTTACTTGGCTTTGGATCCTGCAACCTCAAGCACTGAGCCAGGAGATCGCAGGGAGAAGTTCTGGGGAGTGCCACCAAGTTTCGTAAGGAGAGATCTGGATAGCATATAGGGGCTCACCTTTGATCCAGGAAGCACATCTTTCTTTTGCTGTAAGATACGTACTTTTTTGCCAGCAGTAACGTGTCAAGCCCACAAAAGAAGCGATATAATTAGTGCTGGTACCTACTACAAACTCAGCTCTCTAAGAGAGACCATTGCAGCTTTTCAAATGTCTACCATTTTGAAAACAGAAAAACATTTTCTAACAGACAGAAGAATCCCTCTTGAATCCCCCCTGGCCCTTTTGAATTCACGCCCTGCCTTACATCAAACGCTTTTTTGCTGATTAACTGCACAATCAGGTCCCTGCAGATCAGGGGAAGAATGGAGAAGAGAAAAGCAACCTCTTTTCCAGAGAACAATACCATTATTTCAGCTCCATTGGACAGGAATGTGTGATTTCACAGCCCACTGCCCCTCTCTCACATCTCCAAAAACACTGCCAGAGATCCATTGCTCAAAAGTCTCCACCCAATTTCATCCAGATCTAGTATTTAGAATTTTAGGTCAATATTTGTGGGGTTTACTTGTTAAAAATAAACTCAAGAAGACATACGATTAAAGTTTGGCTTAAAAAAAAAACTTGGTATATACACGGGTTTGCCAAAAGTAAATTTCTGGTCCACATAGAAATTAGCTTTTGGATGGAGTTTTGTGTAAGGCTAGATAAGAAACGAAACAAGCAAACAAAAAGATTATGTATAAAATCATTCAACAGCTCCTGAAGAAATAGATTTTTTGCATACACAAGGTATTCCTGATTCAGTTCATAAAAAGCTAGTAAATAAAAGCAAACCAAGATGCTTTTAAAGGCTGCATTAGTTTTTTCAAACTTTACTTAATGATCCTTTTGCTGCTAACTTGTCTCCTTTGTCTCTCAAAATAGTTTCACTTTACAAACACATGTTGAAACAAATTGTTGAATTGCTGGCTCTGCATAAAGGTAAGCATTTCTTTTAAAAACTGAAATCATCGCACAAAGTTGTGTTTGTTAGTTAACAAGATGTTGGTTAAAAAAAACAAACTTACCAAGGCATTTCTGTCTTAGGGTTACAGTGTCACAGGTACCTCTCCCCATCTCTCTTTATTCATATGTAATGACTCGTGTATTTTACAAGTTGCAGGGTAAAAAAACCCAAAACATTAAGATACTTTCTTTCCTCCCCCTCAAACTTTGATATCAGTTACTCCCAAGTGCACTGAGATATTTTCAAATATCCGCACCTAGTTTGCAAAAACAAAAGCTGTTGTGGTCGTGAAAGTGCACTGAAGTGACCTGGGGTGTTTTAGTCAGTAACAATTAAATCGCTTGTTTTGTGCAGCCCTGTGTTAAGTGTGTAGCCAGGACTGAGCGTGCGAAAGAAACATGGCAATCGACTTTGTTACTTACTAGCTTGAGAGGGGGGAGGGAGAGAGAGAAAGAGATTCTCACGTGGAGCATGTAAAGTTCTCCCCCACCCCAGAAACATCCCCGAAGTAAGAACAGCCATCACCATCATCACCATCATCACCACACAAAGGTAGCGCGTTGGGTCAAGCAGGTGTGTTTTCTGCTACTAGGAAAAAGGTCCCGATTTGAAAAGAAAAAAAAAAATAGGTAGAAAATAGTTCCAATCTCTCGGGCAAAGCAGAGAAACGCTGACCACACCTCTCAGATCAGAGCCCACTGGGGATCAGTTGGTCCCCCCCAACACCAGCACCACCAAACAAAAGAGAGGCAGAGGGAGAAATAATATTTGTTCAGGTTTCCCCTCTGCCCGCCTTTGATTTATCTGTTTACAACCAGGACCCCCTCAGTTGCAACAAAAAATCAATGAAAATGTAGTTGAAGAAAAGGCGGGCAAAGTAGAGGGGGGAAAAAAAATTTGTGAATGGAAGAATGTGTTTGTGCATTCATTGTTAAAATAAAGAGTGGGCCGTGACGCGAGCTCCCGGGCGCCAATGGGCGCGGGGATAATATTTTTAAATATCCTCCCCGGGAGCCAATGGGAGAGGCGGTGGCAAAGACTAGCGCAGGGATGCGCCAATGGGGAGGAAGGTATGCTAATGAGGAATTGGTCAGGCAGGAGCTGAATGTCAAGTAGTCAAAGATGGAGGCTGGAGCGGGGAGGCCATGAGGTTTGTACCGAGGATTTTCCCAAATTTGTATCGATTGGAAAACGAGGCGGGCGGCGGGCGGGCCGGGCCGCCCCGCACCGCCG